TTTTCTCCAGGTGATTTTAATTTTCTTCTTTGAGTCTTCTCAACATTCTAAGATTTTTGCAATAAGCATGCATAGTTTCTATAATTGGAGAAAAAATGAATTAGAAAAGTTGTGCTTCAAAAAAAGTAGGGAGACATCACTGAGGTGACAGTTGTAACCTTGGTAGGTTTGCTCAATTATCAGGTGGTCGTTTCTTTCCTACATTGACCTTGTTCGCTAATATTTACTGAGCACTTACTGTGTTCCAGGCTCTCTGTGCCAAGTCCTTTATATATGTAACCATTCATATATTAAACATGAGGAAAATAGGGCTCAGTGAGGGGAAGCGACATTCCCAGTGTGGCACAGCTGGTGGGTGGCCCAGCCAAGGTTCAAACCTGGGACTGATGAGCTCTGAATCCTTATGTCACCCCTGCACCATATCCACCAGATCAGAGCAGCAGATCTCCCAAGGAGGGGTGCACTACCATCTATGGCCCTTCCTTCCATGGGCATTAGGGGAAAAGGCCAGGGCTGGCTACTCTTACCAGAGGGTCCTGGAACCAGTGATCTCTAACTCTGTGGTGCCTACAGACAATACATGAACAGACCTTCAAAATGAGGACCAATGGGACACCCCAGGTGCTGAAAACTCAAGGAAGCTAACCACACATCTTAAATAAGCCTGGTGGCTCCAAAAATAATCTGGAGGGAGGTGGGAGGGAATAGTGGCAACCAAGGCTTCCAGTCCCCTGGCTACCCCCTCCTTCCTCCAAAGCCTGTAGTTAGAACAAATTGGATTTTTAATTCACTAAATCAGGAAGGCACTACGCGCACAAGGGTTCTTTGTTTCTTTTGTAATAAAATGTATGGAGGAGGCACTTTTTTGGTTTGCTCATCTCACAAATAGTTGTAGGAAAGTCCTGGAGTCATCTTCATTGGTGATAGGACACAGCATGGAGGCCTCGGTGGTGGCTCTTTGGAGGGGTAGCACTGCACTAGGGTGAGGGCTTTTATTGTTGATGTGGTTCACCCGTGCCCTGGGCCCCTTGGGCTCCTTCTATAGCCATGACACTTTCTTTCTAGAGAGACAGATGACAAGCTTTCTCTGAGCCCTTCTAACTTAATGACAAGAGAAGGAAAAACCCCACACCTTTTCATGTTATGTATTTGATTAAGGAGTCCCTGGGCATAAAGGAGCTCTGGTGGCATATTGCCTAAAGCACTCACTTGACTGCTAACCAGAAGGTTGGCAGTTCAAACCCAGCAGCCACTCCTCGGAAGGAAGGCTGGGCAATCTACTTCTGTAGAGATACCATCTTGGAAACCCAAGGAAGGGTCGCTATGACATGGATCTGACTCCACGGCAGTGTGTTTGGTTTTGCTGCATTGGGTGGTGTAAATAGTTAATGCTTTCAGCTGCTCACTGAAGGCTGAAGGGGCTGGAGGTTCAAGTCCCAAGAGGTGCTTTGGAAGAAAGTGCCAGTGATCTACTTCTGAAATATCAGCCACTGAAAACCCCACGGCGCATGGTCCTCCTCTGACATGCATGAGGCTGCCTGGTGTCAGCACTGGCTCCATGGTGACTATTTTTTGTTTTCCAACCTGAGTTAAAGCCCCAGAAGACAGGGCCCTAAGCTGGAGTTTTCCAGCTACTGGGTAAAGTGAGCTTCTCCTCTGGCTGAGCACCAAAAACAGCGGCTGGTGGCGCCTGAGGTCCTGCTTTGGCCCCGGCACTGTGCTGAGTGATCTGCCCATGTTAGCTCAGTCGCTCCTCTCACAGTTCCATAGGGAAGCTCTGGTGGCTACTTTCTATTGTACAGATAGATAGATATTGTATCTATTGCATAGGTGAGGTGCCTACAGCTGAAAGAGGTCACATAGTTTCCCACAGCTGCACAGCTGGTCAGGAACAAAGCTGGGATTTGTGTCCAGGCTGTTTGACTCCAGAGTTTAAACCCTTGGCCACTGCACTCTGACTTCCCTGAGGTTCTAGTAAACAGTTGTCTAGGGAATTGGCTCATCAGAGGGTCTTCATCTGGGCCAAGAGGAGCATTCACTGCAGCCTGGCCAGGAAGCTGCAAGCTCGTGGCAGATGCTGCTGCTTGACTAACCCGTCATTTCCAACCCCCTTCTTCCTTGACCACCTCCTCTGGAGAAACTGAAGAAGCTCCTTACGTTCCCGACTCCCTTGCCGCTAGGGGTAGCCTAAGTTCTAGGCAATGAAACATAAGCAGAAGTAGGACAGGACTTCTAAGAAAGCAATTCCCTTCCAGGTACAAGGGACAACATGGCACTTCCTTCCCCTCTTCTTTCCTTGAAAGTGTCTGTGTTAGTGGTTCTGGCAGGGTAGCCATCTTATAACCATGGAGGAAAGGCCACAAGAAATTGTTTTATTCTGTGAGAAAAATAAACCCATATTTGTTGGAGCCTTTGTTAATCAGATTTTCT